AATATCATTGTGTCCAACGGTTTTTCAATGTCAATCATTACTTTACTAATATTATAAATCTGAAAGTGATTTTGTTTGTTTGTTCCACCTTCATGCCGTAACTACTCAACCGATTGCTTTGAATTTTTGCAGACGTAAAGTTAGAAGTCCGGATTAAATAATAGGGTACTTTTTAACCCGGAAAAAATTGATATTCCCGAGGAAAAACAAAAGTATTGGTATAGATGGCGCTGTGTGTATTGGTATATGTCACATAGGCTACTTTTTATTCTTTTGTGACGCGAGCGAAGCCGCGGGTAAAAGCTAGTTTTAAATAAAGCACACACTTTATAATGTATTTTAGATTTTATAGAACAATTACAACTATGTAGCTGAGCTAAATTTTAATTATTTAATTATGTGATGCCAATTCAGGACGTAATAATAAAATTCTGACGTAGAACCACCCAGAAGATCAAACAATCGCCTGTAGGTGATTTACATTATAACAAAAATGAACCTTATTGCTATGATATAAAAGACTCAAGTTATGTATCTATCAATTTAGGAGCTTCTTAATCTCAATAGTAAACAGAATAACCAATAAAATGTCTCTATAAAGGCTGATGCCAATTATATTTTGACGTCTTAAATAGAGAACAATTATGCGTCTTAAACAATTCGTAGTTATATGTATGGGTACTATCTATGCCAGAGTTTTGAAGTTATGATGATGATGATGATGATGATATAAATATTTTTTACGTGTGCGTATACAGCCTATACAGAAATAGTCTTGTGTGAAGAGTCTATGCCATATCCTCCTTTTGAGCTAAGGAGGAAGCGGGGCGCTTGACGCAGGGAAGCGCTGCCTCCTCACAACCAAGCCGTCGCGAACACACACACACACACAGCATCGGGGATCGCGAGACGATCTCCGGCCACCGTAAGCACGGACCTGCGGGTAGCTCGCCGTCCAACTAGAACCAGCCCCGAGAGTTCGGCGAGTCGCGTTCCGCGCTCGCCTCAAAGAGCCATCAGACCACTACAGATGGTCTGTACCAATAGAGCTGATGCCGATACAGAACCACGGAGAACGTAAAAGGTTACCGGGGCTCCGGCTCGAAGTGCAGGTGTAGGAATGGGGTGGTTTATAGTCAGTAAGAGTTTGACACTCCATCCCGCCTCACTCTTTGGCGGGAGAAGTCATTCGATGATTTTCCACCTTAAAAAAACTACATGTATGGAAAGTATAGACTCTTCACACAGGCATGTCCAAAATGGACATGAATGTCAATAATTTAATTTAAAAATTAAAAAACCCAACTGCAAATGAATTAAAATGTAGGTAACTAAACAACTTCGGTTGAAACGCATAGGTAGTAAGTAATCTAATTAAACAACTTTAACAAACCGGATTCATATAAGACGATGAATATTTGAGTGATAAATAATAATGGGTCCCGACTATTACAGTTGTTTTAAACTAAACCGTCGTTTTTAGTTCATTCAGTATGTCTCACGATCATTATTACAAAAAAACATATAATACGGACATTATCAATTAAAAAAAATAATAATGTAAATGATAAAATTTCATATTGAATTAGCATTTTAATGAACTATGAAACCATAAACATAAAACATTAATTAATTGTTTTTCAGTTACCTATGCATTAGCATTATTTACTTTAGGTACACAAAAATACTTTGTAGGATACAATTTTGGTACAAGTGAGTTTATATTATTCTATCTTGTCTTTTAAGAAAACTTCGCTAGTTAATTTTGATCAGTGACCTTCAATTGTGTGATGATAAGCACAAAAAGTATATTCTGTATTAACATTTCCTCAAACAATCAGGATTTCTAGTTTTTAAATAGTAATTTGCATCAGGATAAGTGGTTCTGTAACTTGATTTTGCTTGTTAATAATGTCATAATAAAAGTTAGCATTCACGTTTAATCCCAGGTCCTAAAACAGTCTCCATTTTGGAATTTATCACGACAATGTCATTTCATAATACGACGCAGTGCCATTCCCTTATGTTGTTTTAAATATTTCACGACCTTCTTCGCAGTAGGTTGTCAGTATGACTGAAATAGCTAGTATTATGTATTACTGAATCAATTTTCAGTCTAGCTTCGTTGTTTAAGAAACTTGATCTCGATCTTGGTCGATATGAATGACCATAAATGTCTTTCTCTCCATCTTTACAACGTTTATGCGTGAAAATGATTTTGAAAATCGTGTAATAAGCTTTAAATAAGCATTTTTCGCGGTGACAGAGCGATGGCGGCACCGTGTGTATAAACGCTTAGTGTCGAATGGCATTTTCTACTAATCAACCGCAGCCCCACAGGGCAAAGAAGTGTTACTGTACTGTAGTGTATATGTAATATCATTTACTAGCGACCCGCCCCGGCTTCGCACGGGTGCAATATGCATGTATTATACATATAAACCTGCCTTAAGAATCACTCTATCTATTAAAAAAAACCGCATCAAAATCCGTTGCTTAGTTTTAAAGATCTAAGCAGCCAGACCGCGGATGGCGACTTTGTTTTATACTATGTAGTGATAATAGTTAAATCGCTATATTTTATAATATCCACATTTCAATGCAACATTGAATGCTACTAAAGTACCTTCGCTGTTTGCAGTAATGTCGCAATACATATTTATTTTGCTTACAAAACATTTCACTATGACGGAATTTTGGCAATATCCAATTTTCGTTTGAATGCCCAAAGAACTGTGGTTGCGACAGTCGCATTACCTCAGAATTTGCGGTGCGTATCATTCGTCATTTGAGTAGTGTGCGCTTGGCCTTAGAATTAAAAAAGAAGTATGCATAGAATGGACCGCTTTAGATTTATTTATTAGTGTTCTGACAGTCACCAATCAGTGAAGTTGATTTCGTTGTGCGGTTCTTATACACAAAAATTTGTTTACAATTTTCTTATTGTTTGTTAAATACCAGTAAACAAGGTAAGGTGTTTGTTTATTTACGGTTTCATTTTCTTTTTTAATAGTAATTTATCGATTAAAAATGTACAGTTTAAAATAAATTGTTTATTGATGATTATATTCATACCTATAGGTAATATAATAAGGGAAATAAGTATATAGAGGTAGTAGAAATTAGACGAAATGTTAAAGTAATATATTTTGAGTTTAAAAAACAAAACAGTTTCATTTTGACTTTGAGTATAAAGAACTCTAAAATGAAAAAAAATTGAATTATAGAGAGTTATTCTAAATATAAATAAGTTCTATTTAGTTATAAATAAGTTAACAGCGTTTTCGATATTCATTTAAAATTACAGTTCAATAACGTGGAGGTTAAAGATGAAATTATTACAATTAGTTTATTACTATGTAATGTATGTACTCTAATGTAAATAAAAATAAAGCGAAATTTAAAATTTTAATGTATATATTCATGTGCAACAATATTTTTCTAGGAAATAGACAAGAATTTAATAGAATAAATAGGTACTGTCCTAAAATATATGACATTTAAAAATCTTCTATAAATAAAAATAAGTTGGTTCGTTTATCATTCAAGGTGTGTAACATTTTTAATTAATGTGTTTAAATAAGTTTTCAATATTATTAGGCTTTTTAATAGCATTCAGATACATAAATACAATCAAGTAATCAGTTAATGGCAAAAATGGTAAAAAAATAAAAAATCATTCATTTAAGTTTTTTACGTCTTCATTTAGTTTATTTAGGGGAACCATGGCTCTATTCAAATCGAAAAATTAATTAATTAATACTAATAAAATACAAAAATAAAAACACCCACTATTCAACAATTACGTCATATGCCATGTTTTGTGTATCAATAATGTTATCAATCACTAATAGGGGGCGTGCCCGTTGTCATACATGAGACATTTTTTTGATGTTGTATCCCAAAACCACGGCAACTGGTATAAGTCAGAATCTATAGTAGGTACTTACAACCATGAAAACACCGAAATACTGAAGTTCGGCGCGTCATAAGGACATGAATAACTGTCTTGGATCGAACGAAATAATGTAATCTCTTAATTATCCAATGACTTTTCCCGCGTTGGGTAAAGCAAGGATTGTCAGACTTATTAAAAAAAAAAAAAAATAATTTATTTCATCAACTATTATGTAGGTACATACCAACAAAATATTAGGAAAAAACCTGTTAAACAAGAAAATGCTTGTGGTAGGCGATCCTACTATACCAAGGACATCAGCTAAACATAAGTTTATAAAAATAAATAAAAAAGAAAGAAATTTAGAATTAAACAATTATAAACTGAAAATTAAAGGGAATAAGTAATGTGAAATTAGAATACATTAGTTCGCACACTGAGTGTATGTAATGTATGAAGGCATGTGTTATGTTATGTTATGAATGTTTATCTGTGTATTAGTGTTGTGCTCGTTAATCTGTGAATGTATGTGTAGTGTTGTTTACTTATTGGCTAGATAGACTGCCTCGTTGGCCAAGTGGTCGCAAGTGCGGCTGTTGGGCAAGGGGTCTCGGGTTCGATTCACGGGTCGGGTAAAGTATTACTGTTAAAAATCTCAGTAGTAGCACGGAGTCTGGAAATGTGCCCGGTATATGGCAATAGGCTCACCCCCTATTACATGGGACTCATAACATAAATAATGAAAAGTGGGTGTTACATTCTACAGTGGCATTAAATGCCGTAATGTGCACCTCTGCCTACCCCTTTGGGAATAAAAGGCGTGATGTTATGTCATGTTATGTTACCATGCGTATACATGAAAACACAAGAAAAGTCGAAAACTGAGAGCAGAAAACCATATTTTATTTTTTTTTGTTTTAGCTGTAGTTAGTCAATTACACAGTAATATTAAAAACGTGATTTTTCTTTAGTTAAAAATAATGTTTCGCCTTCCTTTCCAAACCTAACTGCGACTTTGCTTTTTCGGCCCTACAGGTCCATCCCATAATATTATTATTATGGCATTCTAAAAACTAATCTATTTTTAACAATATGGTTTCAGATGACACAAGTAAGTGAAAAAGATGTGGTTGCGATCAAAGACTGGATGGCCAAAGACCCTACTCTACCAAAAAACTTCGGTGAGTAAACAATTGTATTCTAATTCTAGACTCTAGAACACCTATAATAAAATTAGAACTTAGACCTCTGGAATCTATAGTATTTGTATGATCATTCGAAGAGCCCAATATACAGAAAAACGAGTGATAGACCCATTATAAGATTGGACGATGACATTACATGATCACATTGTCAGTGTGACGACCTTGACTAAGAATAATATAAAATAAAATAAGATAACATTAAAGGGATAGCTGGTCCAAACTGGAGACTAAAGTACCTGAAGACAAAGTCACGTGGGCGTCACTGGATGACGCCTTTACCCTTTCTGAGACTCCGGTAGATTAGAATAAATCAATTAGAAATAAAAGAATTACAAAGAAATAGATTAGAAATAAAAAAATAGAAGAAAAAACTTCGAAAAAACGAAATAAAACAATCATTTTAATAGATTTTTAGTAGGAAATGTACATTTATTGGAAATAAGGTTTGTTTATCTATATCTATACTAATATTATAAAGAGGAAAGATTTGTATTTTTGTATGTTTGTAATGAATAAACTCAAAAACTACTGAACCGATTGCAATAATTTGTTCACCATTCGAAAGCTGCATTATTCAGAAGTAACATAGGCTATATAATATCACGCTAGGTCCTATAGTTGTGGAGCAGTAACCAAAAATGTTTTAAAAACGGGGGAAAAGTATCGTTTCTGAGGCCTTCCGTGGCGTGCGCTGAGCATATAGTTAAAGTTATACAAAAATGTTCTATAGATGAATTGTTTATTTTAACATTATTTTTAAAAAAGTCCGCGAGAGCATATGTCTACCTTTTATAGTTTACCCATAACAATCGTTTTAATGAATGGTTCAATCCTTATAAAAGTTTGCTCTAGATAACTTTTGAATTGTTCAATCGGTTACCTTAAGACGCGACATCGACAACGGAGGGCAGGTCGCTAAAAAAAAACTGAGAATAAATATAAATAAAACGTAAAACTATGTAAAAAATCTTAAGTCCCCCCGTGCGAAGCCGGGACGGGCCGCTAGTTTTTATTAAATTGAAGGACACTGCTTATTTGCATTGATTTGTCTATTGTGATTGACAGGCTGTCCTTTTTAGAGGCGCTCGAGAGATCCTTTTACCTAAGAAATAGTAAAGCATAGAATAGCCATGTTTCGGCGCTAATGCGCAGACTCGATCGGAGTGATACCACGGTATAGACAATCGGCGTCAAGCAACGCTTACGTTGCTGTATGCCAAATATTTAGTTAAGTGACGTTACCGAAGGAAAATGAATGACGAAACCGAAACAATACACTACTTCGATGTTCTTCGACTGCTTCTGTGTCTCCTATGCCAAGAAAGAACAAGGGGTCTCGGGTTCGATTCCCGGGTCGGGCAAAGTATTACTGGGTTTTAAAAAATTCTCAATAGTAGTACGGAGTCTGGAATTGTGTCCGGTATATGGCAAGGCTCACCCCTATTACATAGGACTCATAACATAAATTGTGAAAAGTGGGTGTTACATTGTACAGTGGCATTATGTAATGTCCACCTCTGTCTACCCCTTCGGGGATAAAAGGCGTGATGTTATGTTATGTGTAATTGTTAATGTATAGTTAGACTTACTGTACTTGCCTATGTGTCTTAGTATCTAGGTACACACATAGATTATCACATAGGTCCTGTAGATGGAGCCATTGTAATCAAGCTTCCTTGTGCTTTCTGCTAAGGAGTGGAATTCTTTGCCAGAGTCTGTATTTCATGAAGGTTATAACCTGGGTGTCTTTAAGGCCCGCCTGAATAGGTTACAGAATAGGAGGGTCCCATACGACTTTTTTTAGATTCCATCAACAATTATTACCCTAATGTTTTCTTAAGGAAAAAACAATTGAATAGTGTTCTGTTTTTTTTTTCTTCTTGATTGATAAATATAGCGTTCTAGTTCATGGTTTATTTTTTTTTAATATAAGTATTTGAAAAACACTCGCCACTTATGTCATTCAATGATAATCATGTTAATCACAATTTTCTTATTGTTTGTTATTTGAGGTCATTTTAAATTCATGGCGTTTCACCTCAATGTCGATTTACCTAGATAAGGGGTATGTGTTAGTGTGTCATTGTCAATATTGTACAATAGCATCCTTTTCTGAAGAAGATGTGGCGTCATTTAGGGTAATATGTCCACGTTACGTCATGTGACGAATGCATGCATCCTTTACAGCCTTTTTTTAATGGGGGAAAAGCATCGAATGACTGCTCCCGCCTGAGTGAGGCGGAAGGGAGTGAGTACTTACGTATTGTAATAAACTTGTCATATATTTGTGTGTGACATATGTAGCGTTCCGCACGCGTCTCAAACCGCCATTAGACCACTACAGATGGGTCCAGTGGGGCTGATGCCTGATACGGAGCCGCGGAAGGCCTAATAGAACACTCATTGAGAGGGGAAAATCAGCCAATTACTTCGCCCGCCTTGGGTGAGGCGGGAGGGAGTGTCAGACTTTTACTGACTAAAAACCACCCCGTTCCTTCTCCTGCACGTCGAGCCGGAGCCCCGGTTACCCGTTAGGTTCTCCGCGACAATCCTTCACAGACTTAAGGTTGTCGCTTTCTAAGCAAGATGTAAGCATTTGTCATTTGTAAGCCGCCTTTTGTTTGTGAAGGATACATGCATTCGTCAAATGACGCAACGTGACAGTGGACAATATCATTTAATTGACTTTTTTTACAAGATGACCATGCACTTTTTTTTCATTTGAAACTACCGCTCTTATGTAACTTAAGCTGATGGTAGCATTTGTGCATTTACTGCGCACCGTTTTAGATTCCGTCCGTGTTACTATAAAAAAACAACAAAAAGTACTCAATAATTATTTTGCTCTAGGCAATTCGGATCTGGAGCCGCGGAGGACTTAACGGGTTGCCGGGGCTCCGGCTCGAAGTGCAGGAGTAGGAACAGGGTGGTTTTTAGTCAGTAAGAGTCTGACACTCCTTCTCGCCTAACCCAAGGCGGGCGAAGTAATTGGATGATTTTCCCCTCTCAAGAAGAGTTCTATTAGGCCTTCCGCGGCTCCGTATCGGGCATCAGCCCCACTGGACCCATCTATAGTGGTCTGATGGCGGTTTGAGACGCGCGCGGAACGCTACGTGTGTCACACATACAAATATATGACAAGTTTATTACAACACGTGTATTTGAGTCAGTGTGATACAGAACCACAGAACTATGCTGATTAAAAAACAACAACAACCTTCGATTAAAAACATTGATTTAAATAAAATCTGAACTTTCAAATAAAACAAAGTTCCACGTGTCTTCAATATACTTAGTATACAAATTTGAGAATATGTGGGTCAAAGAGGTCAAGAAGTAAAGATTCTTGGTCAATTGATTAGATTTTCTTTAACTTAATACTCTTTATTTTTTTAATATTTTTTTTATAAACAAAAAGAGGGCGCAGCATTATAATACAGACGGATTTATCTACGGGAATAAAAAAATAATTTTGTCCTACGTGGTATGTAATTATAGGTTTTAACCTGTTGAAATATCGTCCCCTAAATTTGTTCATACAAAAGTAGTCTTAAAAAAAAATAAGGTCTATAATGTAGTTCGTGAAGAGCGGTCACCGGTGACCACTTGGGTATTGAGCAATTGTTCATATTATATTTAGCTAACCAAGACTACCTCCTAGAAAATACGTAGTCATAATATACTAAATACTCTGAAAATATTGCCTATCATCATTCTATGTACTTAACCGTTATGTATATTGTTATATAACAGTGCAGTGTTTGACATAATGATTGGTATTCATGATGATATAATAATACTTCACTTAAATCACAATTCACTTAAATCACAAATCACAAATATAAGACTAGGAGTGCTGTGCAGGGAAAATTTGTAATACCTCAGGTGAAAAATTATTATGGTAAAAGGACTAGGCGATATTTAACTCCAACAATATTTAACAACATAGGTTTTATAAGAAACGCGTCCAAAGATAACATAAGTGATGCTTTATTTAAAAAAAGACTTAAAAACTACTACCTAAAAGTATAAGATACTCATAAGTAATAGAAATAGTTTTATTAAGATATTAGTATTAATAAAATTAATAATATTTTTGTCATTTAATAATAATTGGTAATACATATAATAGATTTAATGTAAAATACTTCTAATATTATATAAAGAATATAATATGTACATAATAAATAATATTTAAGAGCGCCATTATCGCCAACAAACTGGTAACAGTTTGGCGATTTTTGTATATTTAATAATAATGTATACATTTATGAGAATAAACAAATAAAAAAAAAAAACTTATTTACTTAGTACTCAATATTTATATATATTATTTACACGGATGGAGTCATTACATAGAAATATTTATGTGTTTATCAGTTTCCTGTTAATGAAAATTAGAATTTTCTATAAGAAATTGTACTTTTACTAGCCTTTTTTTTGTTTAAAGATTGGTTCTTCGAATCATTATGTATATGTACTTAACACATTAAACGCCATGGGGGTCACCGGTGACCGACATTAGCGGAGGATTTTCCTTCAACAGTTTTCTGTTGGCAGTTAAAGCCTTAATAATAGTAATATAAGTGGTTTTCTTTTTGTTTGTAAGTAGAATAATAAATTTTCAATATAAAGTATCAAAATTTGAAATCAAATCAAATTTTTTTAGTTTTTGTTACATAAAACTAGATAAAATAACTAGCACTGTAACCAAAGCCGGTAATAATTAGGTGCATATTACAGTAGCATCGCTGACTACGTGATTTGTCATATTTATCACACATTTCTATCACAATCGGCTCAGCAGTTCCAATGTTACAAGCGTTAAAGATAAACAAACATACTTTCGATGTAATAGCTATTGATAGGTACCTCAGCGATTACATCATGAACCAAAGAAAACATTTTTTTGCTAAAGTATTAATAATAAACCATTCAATCCTTACTTCCTTACTTATATTATAAATCGGAAAGTGAGTTTGTTTGTTTGTTCCGCCTTCACGACGTAACTACTCAACCGATTGCTTTGAAATTTTGCAGAGGTAAAGTTAGAAGTCTGGATTAAATAATAGGGTACTTTTACTTGATATTCCCGAGGGAAAACAAAAGTATTGGTATAAATGGCGGTGTGTGTATTGGTATATGTCACATAGGCTACTTTTAATCCTTTTGTGACGCGAGCGAAGCCGCGGGTAAAAGATAGTTAAAGATAAAGTATTCATGGTATGTTTACTATTTGTCAATTAACACTAATCTACCATGGGGAAGTCACACCATGCTTTTTAAAACTTTATAAGTGATAATTAAGAACCTACTGATGTATTGACGAAGCGACGAAATATCGAATAAAAAACTGTGCTATAAATAAGTCTGTATTATGCTAATAGTTGAGTAATCAATCATATAAACATAACATTACGTCTTTGGGCAGATATAACCGGCATATAAGTAAGGTAATGTGTATTCTATATTGCCCAATAACGATGGGTACAATAGGGTGCCTAATTTTTATTTTAATGTTCGTCTGTTAGATTATTTTAAATCATTAGACACGTATTTTTTATTTTCTTACAGAAACGATTACTTTTGACGATATGTTGATTTTAAATGTCGCGTGATGTCACTTCTATGTACATTTTATACGTAGAAATGACATTTTAGCCCCCACTTCTAACTCCTAAACTTTCATTCGTTTTATCTAAGTATTGTTTTAATATACGACACAATAAAAAAATATGTACGTGTCTAATATTTTTTCATTACCTAACTTACGGACTAATTAGATTTTTAATTTTCATACCCTGTCATCATCCCAATTCTCCATGGAATCTGTTTCCGTACGTAAAGCTAATTAGAGTCGTTTTTGGGGTTAGTAGATGAGCTGACGGGTCTCCTGCTACCAATAATCGGTGTAGCCTATGGATACCCGCAACACCCGAGGACAGTGCGTTATCAATCTTGGGGATTTGGAGACGAGCTCAAATGTTTGAAGATTTTGGAAAAAATAAATAGGTAACCTTAATCGGAAAAGCAGAAATCTATTAAGTATGATAACGAGCTAAGTAAATCTATCCGTGAATTTATTCCGATTATGTCATGTCTTTTCTTGTTTGCACTTATGCTTCCGACTATTCGATAAACTAGACTCTAATGCGAGAGTCTTGTTATATCTGTAAGTAGGTAAAAAAAAACTTTTCGGCTTAAGTGCACACTTGTAAATAGTTAAGTAATCACTATTTCGCAAACACAGTCATGTATTCGAGTTTAGAAATTGTTTTTTCGCGTGCCTCTTACTGGCAATATGGTTGGTCGGTTCAAACTAATTGTGAAGAAAGTTAAACTTTTGCAATGGACAGTTAGAAAGTTTGTGGTACATACCTAACAAATAATGTATTGTTCGGTTAATTCTTTTTATCGATCAAGTGTTCGTTGCGTAATGAGATAGAATGAGAGTGTTGTTTTGGTTCTATTTCTTCTTTGAAGCATTATTTTGCCTTGTCATTAAGTATTACGTACGTCAAATATCTAATTTAACTACCAAATTAAATAAGTCACCTTGGATAGGATAGGGTTTTAACCCGTCGAGCGTCCGCGTTCCTTATGATCCCACGGGTGCACACGTGACATTTGGAGAAAGAAAGAAAGAAAATGCATGTATTTGACCATTGGCACACGAAAACAAGGATCATTACAATAGGAATAAAAAATACAGTCAAAATAAAAATAAAACATTAATAATAGATTTTTTGTAAAAGAGAAAGTAGCATGGGGCATTTTTTCTTATGATTCACTGTGTGCTCATAAGGACGCTCGAGGGGTTAAGTGTGGGAGAGCCATGCTTCGGCATGAATGGGCCGGCTCGAACGGAGTGATACCACGGCCTCATAGAAAACTGACGTAAAACAACGCTTCAATTGTGTTTCGTCGTGTGAGTGAGGTTACCGAAAGACCAATTACTCGCCTTCCCCAGTCTCCTCAATCCCCGAATCCTCTACAATCCTCAAACTTGTAACGCCTTGGTGTTTCAGGTGCTCATTTCTCGCCATCAGGTGATCCGTCTGCTCATTTACAGGCTTATGCCATAAAAAAGATCTTTGCTCATTTCTAATGGAATCCCAATAAGGTAATCCTACTTATCACGTGAAAGCAATTGTCCTGGATTATTTTTTGAATATTAATTTATTAACAAGAAAAATAGCAGCCAAAAACTACAAAGGCGCTTCACCACAATTAAATTAATTTACGGATCGGAGAGATATAAATAATATACATATGTATTTGGTATGTGATAACATAAAATCAAGGTTAATTAAAACATTTAATATACAAACCAGAAAGACATGACGTTTTTTTTATTGGTAATCGTAAATGCAGATTGTTCGCTGGATTTTTTATACATATAATAATATGTAGTTCCTATTTTTACCTATTTAAAACAAATAACCTTTAACTCGTCCAGTACCGGTTTTATAGACACAATTAAAGAACAATAGGTCGCGGTCACCGGTGACCGCTTGGTGTTTGACAGTTTAATCTAGATAACATATATCATTTATAAATTTAATATCTTAGAATTTATTAGTATGACCTTAGCATTCAAAGATAAATATTTTATAATACTTATTTACTGCGTCTTTATTAAATTTCCAATAAAAACTTAAATAATATTAAAATTAACTATTACTAAATTAATAATAAAATATATACAACTTAAGATTAAAATTATATATAAGAAAAAACTGCGTGTTATTTTGTTATATAGACTAGCTGTTCCCAGCGACTTCGTCCGCCAATAATACTGACTTCTGGCAAATTTCGAATTTTTAATTAGTCTTTTATATGGTTATTTCCAGTGATCATCAGCATCGATTCAGTTGTATTTATTGTGAAATGTTGTTCATTTTAATGATTTAAAAAATTAAACAATTCCACAGGTATTTTACCCGTATAGTATCCATTCACGTGAGATTTCAGTGATTAAAACTCCATTTGAATTCCAATCAAAATCATAATAGGTACAACGGTTAAAAATTCTCAGGCCTCATTTTCCGAGTATCAAACTATCGTCGCGTCTTTGTACCCGTGTCGCGTGTTTGTTGTAAATTTGTGCGTGTCTGTTTGGTTTGTTAGAAATTGACGTTTTTTTTTCGGAATGAAGATAGTAGAAACAATTGAAAGGATAGTATAGGCGACATTTTGTTTCTTTCTAACCCACCGCTTCCCTAAAACAGGGGCTGGAAGTTTGTACGGAGCATTTCGTAATTTTCAAGATATTATTTTTATTTTTTTATTTTTAAGATTTTATTTTTTCCGTTTTCTTTTGTATTGTACCTATGTTTTTGTTTTCATTATAAATATTACTCATTAATTATTATGCTTAACGCTTACATGTATTTTAATTTATCGCAACATATATGTATGTACATAAAGTAAGTACGTATCACACTGTCGCGCTGAAACGTACCTAATACCAATGATATACTTGTTATTTTCCAAGAGCTCCGATAAATAGTCAGAAAATTCTTACACTTGTCTCTGGCCACCGGTACTGGAAGATCTGGCTGTAGGACTACACATGTAACAGCCGATACGGAGTCACGAAGAACCTAACGAGTTACCGCGGCTCCGGCTCGACGTACAGGAGAAGGAACGGGGTGGTTTTTAGTCAGTAAGAGTCTGACACTCCCTCCCGCCTCACTCAGGCGGGAGCAGCCATTCGATAATTTTCTCCCTTAAAAAAAACAGCCACCGGGCAACAGTGCTTATCTGATAAACCGGAACCTAAACTACGACCTTTAACCCCAGGAGGATTATGGTCAACCCTAGGTGATGAGACTATAGCAAAGTTGCCCTCTATTGCAGAGTACAGGACACCATTACGGCCGATTTTTCCATCGCCAGATAAATTTTAACTGGGGAATAACTTTGAATATTTAAATTTTTACATATTCTTCCATAATAAAAACTGCCACTCTACTCAATTTAAAGTTGTACATAATTTAACAAAGAACTAGTCGGTTCAGAACTATATTTAAACGGGATTAAAATTTGAAAAACTAAACCTAAAATGACTTAAAATTGAGTAGCGTTTGCGTATTTCGACATTAGTTTAATAGGGAACTGACACGGGATGTTATTGATTATGTTAACTTGACACACCTATTTTAACATTTCAGAGGACATCATGATAAAGAAGTTTCTGTACAGCTGCAATAACAGTTTGGAGCGGACTAAGAAATGTATTCTGACCTTCTGCAACACCCGAACAACAATGACTGAGGTGTTCTCCAATAGGGACCCCCTGTCACCTAAACTGCAAACAGCCTTTAACAATACGTAAGTTTCTCAACAATACCTACTATGAATATTTTAGAGAACATTATTATATATATTGTTTTATGTCTATGTATGTGTTTACCATTCACGGGACCACAGTGAGCTGGTCATTTGGGAGGCGTACGAGGGGCCGAAGCCAACTGCACAGAGGCCCTTTAGACCACTTTTATCTAAATGTAATGGACACACAAACTGGCGACATTATTATTATTATTGTTTATATAAATATATTGTTGTAGTTATTAATAATCAGTGGATCACACAAAGAGTTGTTCCGTGCGGGAATAGAACCCGCGACAAGTTGCGTAGCAGCCAGTTGCCCAGCCACCTCACCAACTAATAGTAGAACTATGTATGCTAAGAGAAAACGTTCGACATTTACCTTGTACTTACTCTATTCGCAACTGCACTAAAGCCCAATAAGTCTACTTACTTCTTAGTCATACTCTCTTGATAGAGTGGTCTGGTCATGATGCCGATCGTACTGCGCAGCTTGGTGTTGCACCTGCGATACGCCTCCATGTAGCATGATATTTGGCTGAGTGAGAACTGTCATTAATGTTGGCTTGGGTCGCGGTCTTTGTAAGGCCCATCCACCTAGGGTTGCCACCCGTACTTTATAATAAAGTATTGTACGTTATTTAAGGTAAATGTACTCTATACTTTATAAAATTAATAAAGTACACGAAAATACTTTATTTTTGCAAACTTCATTTCTATTAAAGTCGTAAGTATTTTTCGGTAAACTTATTGATTCGATATCGATATTTATCGATTTATGTTGAATCGATAACTCGCCAGCGCCACTTAGACAATTTCTAGTAAAGATGCAATTGTTTAGTAAAGGTACTAATTTAATACAAACTGCAAAAAGCAATAAAAAATATATTTTTAATAGAATAAAAAGCAATAAGAATAAATTGTACTTTTTTTTCTTACCTATAAACGTCAATGTACTTTAAATACCCTACATCCACCGCGTCGGAGAACGCCCACAAGTACTTTTGCCTTCGACTTTCCCTTCAACCATCAGCCGCTCCATCGAGTCTCGTTTCGGGTTATTGACACACACTTAAATATATTTTATTTAAAACTTACTCTTATCTTTGTATACCTACGTAATTGTAATTCACCTTTCCAGCTCCGTCGCAACATACTCGACCGACAAAGATGAGATCCTGATTCATCGGTTGGAAACAACAGAAAATTTTGATTTCTACGATTGTCTCAAGTCTTTCACTTTACAATCTGATCAATGGATATCGTTAGAAAGGGAGCCATTGCCTGAGAACCACATTGTCATCATAGATATTAAGGAGATCACCCTGATGATCGTTGCCAAGGCCAACGTGTTTTTCTTCCAGAAGTTTCTTCTGTTTTTATTAGTAAGCATTTTTATCACAATTATCAGTTACATAGAATCACATACATAATTACAATACAAAATATAAAATCATATTTACTATAACATATACCTACCTATACATTTCAATGTTGGTCCAAATGAAATCACAAAACTAGAAGGATCAATTTTGTTTTTATAATGACTATCGTGAGACATATTAAATTAACTAAAATCGCGGGTTACTCACGTAAACATACTGAGAAAATCTCTACTAGTTTCGAACCACAGAGAGGTTCTTTTGCGACGTTGCGCAGCTCATGATAAAGAACCCCTCTGTGGTTCGAAACTAGTAGAGATTTTCTCAGTATGTTTACGTGAGTAACCCGCGATTTTAGTTAATTTAGGATCAATTTTGTCCATAAATTGTTTTCAGTGTAATATTTGCATTAGCAGTAGCTTTTTTTCTTCTAACACCATTCAACAATAACATTACGACTCGGAACAAAACAAAACCAATTTGGCAATAATTACTTTTTTTATCTCCAAAAAAGGTTTTATTATGTAATTTTTCGTCAATCTAATGAGTGTTTTATCCCTATTTCAGGAGGCAACGCCAGTACATTTGATTCAAGTCCACGTAGTGAACTGTCCTTCGTTCTACGAGTACATGTATGGTTTAGTGAAGGGTGCATTACCACAGAATATTAGAGATATTGTAAGTGTTGCTAAAAATTCTATTACTTAACGTTTTATGTATTAGGCTCACACTGTATTTTTTACGTCGGAGAGCCATGGCTCCGTAAAAATTGGCGGGCTTGACCGGCGTGAAACAACACTTGCGGTGTGATTCGCCGTGTGAATGCGGCAATTAGTTTTGTTTCTTTTTTTATACCACGACGGTGGCAAATAAGGTCACGGCCCACCTGATGGTAAACGATTACCGTGGCCTATGTAGGTACGCTTGCAACACTTAGGGTAACCTAAAGGGTGCCTTGCCGACCCTTAATAAATCTATTCACTCCCCTCTTGAAGAATCCCATGTAGATTACCGGCACCGGAGATATAATCCATTCTCTATCTTCAAAAGGCCTTGTAACTGCTCTAATGTATGTCCAGGTGTAGCACTAATCGCAATTGGCTTACCATCAGGTGATACGTCTGCTTATTTGCCAACTTATCCCATTAAAAACTTCGCTATCTACGCCAATTATTGTTTTTCGACCTATCTAGAACAAATAAACATAGTTGCTCTGTCTAATTTCAGACTCATTTCCACACGGACCACATGGGACTGCACCAGTATATAGACAAAAAGTATCTACCCATAGAGTATGACGGCGAAGCGGAAAGTATGGTGGAACAGACTCAATTTTGGGTCAAAAAAATATGTGAGAATAGGTACTTAATCCTGGTTCATAATTATACATTTTCGGTAGTTTCTTTGTTTGTTTTCCAAGTGTTTTAAGTACTTTCAAACTTACAAGTTGTAATTAAATGCCTATTTCTGAACTAATAAGATTTTACTGTTACTAAACTAATAAGTTCTTCTCTTTTCTCGTCTTTCTGATAAGATTTAAAATGCCAGAAAATAGTGTAATCATCAAGTATTTACTACGTTACTTCTTTTAAATCAATACCTAACAATAATAATTATTTCATTTTTACCTTCATTTGTTAACATAAAGTTTTGTCTCCTGGGCCTTTAGCCAAACGCACTTTAGCGCTTGTCTACAGAGATAGTAGAAATCAAAATGTACACAAAATCAAAATGACACTGACAAGTGTCATCCCCATACATTTTGATTTCTACTCTCTCTGTAGACAAGCGCTAAAGTGGTCTTTAGTTAAAGGCACTGAACTACTTGTATCTTAGGATTCAGAATCTTCTTTTCTTACTCTAACAATATAATCGTTGGAACTAATATAATTGTAATAAAAATATTGTGTTTTCAGGTCATTCTACCTGGACGAAAATCTATGGAAGGCTAATATAAACAAAAAAGCACATAAAAACGCAGCGGTCGATACAAGTATGAGCGGGTCTTTCAGAACTTTAGCTATAGATTAATAATTTTCCTCAAAATTTCATTATTTTAAAACAGTTTAGGTCTAATAATTGTATTTTTAAATTAAAAACTGTTCTAATTTTAAGTCTGGCTACAGTGAAATTAAGTTTATTGATAAGATTATTTCCTTTTGATACGGAAATGTATGAGGTATGAGGCAAAATTCACGGATCTCCACTTTTAAAGTTAGGTTAAGATTATTTCAAATTAAACTTTAACGTTATAATTTTTTTATAAACATAAAAATCGCAGTTTGCATTGAAAGATAATTCCAACAGTTACAAAAACATCAGTAGTTTTATGTAATTAGAATTTGGATCAAGAAAGCGTAATAATTAGATTAGATCTAACTTCACAAATGTTTGATCCTACCATCGAACCTAACTAAGAAAAGATATATAGAAAAAAAATATGAGTTTGTATTGTAGTACATACAGTATTATATTGCAGTAAAATTACACTATTAGTGTAGATATTTATGCAGTATAATTATCGGTTAATATGTAAGTGTACTCAAGCCTGCGTGCCTAATTAAGTTTAGGATCGAATAAGCACGCAACTCAAGTAAGCATGATATTTTGTCACGCAACTAAAATTATGACATTTTCATTTTTATGATCAGTAGATGGCGTTAGCGGGAAAATATTCAGATCATATTCATGTTTAACTTAAGGTTCCAAGATCTATGTAAAATGGGTCAAAACTTGGTTGAATAATAATTTAATTGATAAGTATAAATAATAAAATTTTGACGCCTTAAGCTCTCCTTGCAACGTAAAATAACAATACCCTTCCTACAGTCGGGTAAAAAAGGGTTCAATTCTTATTTTATTTATTTGTACAGTATCCCCGGGTTTATTATAACAGTTTAATATTTTATTGTTGGTAATGATCTTTTTTTAATAGAAAAGAATAAATCAATTAAATTATCATGTTTTATTACTTAAACATATCACATAAGAATAGGCAGATAAACATAATTCTACATGTTTAATGTCTACCTATATAATACTTAAAAACTACTCGACAAAATTATTATAAAAACCAAATAATAATAATGATCACTGGTATACGAACTTGTACTCGAATAAGAGTAGTTAATGTAATATTACATGGTACAGAATATTTTATATCCGCTATTTGCACTTTCACTTCTTCTTATTAAAAAAACTTACTAAATACACAACCTTGTCAAAAAATCTAAAATAAAAAATAGACCAAAGGAATATAAGTAAACCAATCTCAAAACTGAAGTTTTAAAACATAACAGGTAAGTTGGGGTTACTTTGATCCTATTTGATAACTTTGATCCAAACCCTTTAATCTTTAGTTGGTAACAAAGACACGTTAAAGTTAATTTTGGATCAAAGTTATCCTGAAGGATCAAAGTAACCAAAATATAATTTAAAAAGAAAATCACACTAAAATTACTTAAACAAATAAATTCTATCATCAATCTAAAGCTAAGGAACGGAAGGAACCAGGCAGCTCTTTGACTTTATCAGCTCTGTCGTCATGGTTACCACTGGGTCTTCGTGACTCGTCGATAGCCCATAGTTTGTCATTGGCTAGGAACCAATCTCTGTAACAAATATTTTTTGTCATAAGTAAATTGGCGTTTGTTAGAACATAATATATTGACTTTGGCATGCGATGTGATCCTATATTAAGTTACATCTCTTTGTCGACTTCGATACAAACACTCTGATCGAAATAATTTTTAGATTTTAAATTTGGTTATTCTTAATAATAACATATACTGGAAATAGAACTTGTAATGAGATTTTTTTGATTGGGCCACATCTTTCCAAAACCGCTGCAACTCCTGTAAGGCAGGATCTACAGTAGATAAACCCATGAAAAACACACTGAAGTCCGGCGCGTCCCAGAGACATGAATAACTGTCTTGGATCCCGCAACGAAATAAATCAAAAGATAATATAAGAGGATAAGAAAAAAAGTAGTGTGTGAGTGATGAGGATAACAGAAATAAAGTCAATTATGAAGTATAATTCCTTCTACTTCAACTTAACTCTCTTCATATATTCATATCTCCGAATACAATAAATGTACATTTCTAATCATATCATACTGATCCTTACCTCTTGGCTTCAATTTTTTTGATCCACACTCTCTTAATAGATTCAATAGAACCAGCTTTGCCACCAAACTCGGTTGGTAGGAGCTCTTGTGGGACATCTTTGTATAGAGTATCAGCGTTTGGCTCGTGGAACTGAATCTGAAAGAAGAATATGAAGAGAACATTAGCCAATGCGAAGATATTGTAATAATTTGAATAGGTATTTCATTTAAAAAAACACTTCTTGTCTGTCGATATATGAGACACAATTGAAAACACATGTGTCTCCCGTAGATCTGCGTTACGACGCTTCACAGGTTAATTAAAATTTTAGTTATGATTGTCAATTCTCATCTACTAAATATGGCATGACAGTTAAAAAGGGTCTGTGTGTCGAAATTCGATTATATACTAAATTATATATACTATATGAAAGACCAAACCGGTAACGTTAACGAAGTCTCTGGTAGAAACTTTGCTAACGTTACCAGGTAAAACTTGAGCTATGTCATGTCACCCACACGCACGAAGCGCTTCGCATCAAGCTTCTTTGTACATACTGCTAAAGAGTCTGTATATCCTTCAAGGTCCGAGTGAGTAGGTTGCTTATGGGACGACGTGCTCCATCGTAGACGCATGCGATCTAGTCGTCATCGCTTACCATCATGCTAGATAGTGGTCAAACGTCGGCCAATCAAATATAGAAAACAACTAACCAGTTTGGCGACTTCAGTCTTCAAGAACGGCTTGCAGAGTCCGTAGATCTTATTGATGTAGGAGGGAGCGTTAATTACATGCACCTGCTTTAGTCGAATTGGCATCGCCTCCTGGAATATAAAGAAGGGTATCATAATTAATTGTTTAGATATTATTAAACAATAGTGAGTGATACACAGTTGCCAAACATTTCGGCCCGACATGTAGCGTTCATTAAAAAAAAATATAAAAAAAGTATTCAGTTCGGTTTCAGAGGAATTTTCTGCCACGGACCCTCCGATTGGTTTTCCCAGTGGGCTACAACATGAGGTTCTTCAAGACGGCAGTGAATAGGTTTTTTAAGGGTCAGCAAGACGCATGTAATGCCCCAAGTGTTGCAGGTGTACATAGGCCACGGTAACCGCTTACCATCAGGTGGGCCGTGTGCTTTTTTGCCACCGTCGTGGTATAAAAAAAAAGAAAAAATTAAGGTATTGGATAGGTTCTCATCATCTGGATTACTGAAATAAGTTATTTATATTATATATTTTAATACGCTCTAGATAAAAAAACACTCTTTAAAGTGTCTCCTTCTTTGTTTTTCTCCCTTCATATTACCATACTGAATCGTTTTTAAATATCACTTCAGCCAATTAACCAAAGTTCAACTACAACGACTGACTGTGGTTTGCCTTGCACCTTAACATATTCAATAATAATTAAAAATAGAACTTATAACATGCTATTTAAGGTTAATTCTCACGTAAATTGGGTTCAAAGATTGCAATTGCCAGATAATTACAAAGTTATTAAAGCGTTTTATAGCCATGTTAACTGCTACATTGTTCATGAGCTTCATTCTTAGAATTCATTTATATGATGTAGTAATTGTAGTACCTGAATTACCTATACAATTATATTATATGCAATCCAGGCATGATAGTTAATGTTACATCTTCAAACCCTAATGGATAAGCAGAGATGTAAACAATGCGACGCCCATTGCTCAGTATTTTTTTTGAGTCTCGAGCTTAGTAGAGAAAGTAATTAGGGGGTAGATAGAGAGACAGATTGTATTTAAGACAATTCCATCAAAGAAAATTGTAACGTATACGGGGCAAAAGTAAAATGCATAAACACCTCTTTATAGCATGAAGGTATTAACCTGATTATGAACATAATGAAAGAACACCTGGCTTGTAGCAAAATTGATAAAGGATTGCACAAGTTCGAAGGTCCACCTGATCTCGACACCACATGCAACCGCAACTTTTCGAAAGATTAAAGCGATTTATCATTTCGTTCGAAAGTTGTAAATTGGTTAATGTTTCAAAAGCACATTAAATTAATTTTATGTTACGAAAATTTGGCCTCCAGAATTTGCAATGTATTTCATCCTTGAATTAGAGTACTTTATCGGTGTTAAGCTTATCCACAAAATAATGTTCTATATTGTAAATGTGTTTACATTTAAGACGGTTAAAAATTTGTAATAGAATCTTTGGTTTAAAACAGTATTATGGTCTGTGGTTCTCAGGACCTACATTTTAAAGTCACAGAATTTTTCAACAGTGTTTGGCAACTTCTGAAGTAAGCGTTCATAGGCCACGGTAACCACTTACTATCAGGAGGGCCGTGTGCTTTTCTTGCCACTGTCATTTTTTTTATGGCATAAGTCGGTAAACGAGCAGACGGATCACCTGATGGTAAGCAATCGGCGTCGCCCATGGACACCTGGAACACCAGAGGCGTTACAAGTGTGTTACCGGCCTTTTGCGGATTAGGAGTTTAAGGATCGTTGGGGATTTAGGAATTGGGGAGATTGGGGAAGGGGAGGGTAATTGGGCCTCCGGTAACCTCACTCACACGACGAAACACAACGCAAGCGTTGCTTCACGTCGGTTTTCTGTGAGGCCGTGGGATCACTCCGGTCGAGCCGGCCCATTCGTGCCGAAGCATGGCTCTCCCACACTGTCGTGGTATAAAAAAGCATATTTAATTTACGTTTTCAAGCTGAACAGTAAAGAAACATTGGACATACCTGTGTGTACATCATATATTTCCTAAGCGCTGACAGATTGACTTTCCCAATGAATCTGAGTGAGACATTTGCCGCATCAAAAATTGGTATCTCTCCTTTCGGTATGTCATGGTTCTCAGTGATCCTTGTATCTGCTAACATGAAGAAGGTTTTCACAGCATCGACGAAGTTGAAAAGATCTAAGTTAGGATTGTTGAGGCGGTAGATAAACACTTGGTAGTTCTCTTTTGTCCTCTGCGGAAGGGGCAGCATGTCCCTGTAATGAAGATGAGTTGACATTTATTTATTGGTTAAATACATTGCAGTTGAGTTGCGTTGTAGTAGAATGTGTTTGAAGTGTTGGTATGTTAAAAGTTTTTAAGTAACAGAATTGCTTCCTATCACATAGAATTTGTTGGACCAAATAATATAACTGACCAAAACTGGATGCGATGTCTAAAATGTACAGCTCTGTCTACCTTCTTTAAAGTATTAAATACCAAATCTTTAGCATTAGATTTTCATGGTATAAGATGTATTTTTGGTCTACTAAAGACTTAAGACAGTCGCACTTGCGACTACTCGGCGAAATGCCTCGTTGGTCGAGTGGTCGCAAGTGCAACTGCCTTGCAAGGGGTCTTCGGTTCGATTCCCGGGTCTGGCAAAGTATTACTCGGTTTTAAAAAAAATCTCAGTAGTAGCACGGAGTCTGGAAATGTGCTCGGTATATGGCAATAAGCCCACCCCCACATGGGACTCATAACATAAATAGTGAAAAGTGGGTGTTACATTCTTCAGTGGCATTAAGTGCCGTAATGAGCACGTCTGCCTACCCCTTCGGGGATAAAAAGGCGTGATGTTATGTTATGTTAAAGATTTAAGAATTTACGCTCCAAAAGTACTTGAATAGCCCTTCACAGGGCCTTAAGGCAAAATGCGGTCGATTTGCGCAACTCTTATTTGAACAAGTTCTCTTGAATAAATATTGTGAACTACATCATATTTTATATAAAGAACTGTATGTAGACACGGTAATTGATGGGATTACCACATTAAGCTAAGCTTAATGGACAAAGGGCAAGCTATGTTGGTAACAGTCGTATGCTATTGTTTCATGTGCAATTTTTCCATTAGCTCATCACCTTTGATCTTCGTCATGGTGTTTTATAATATGTAATATCATTCCTGATCTCTACAGATTTAATTTAGAGCTATTTTGATTTAATTTCTAGTACCTAATGTTGTGTAATACTTTGTATCTTAGAAACGAGCGTAGGTAAAGTGTATTTTTTACAGCCGGTTTTTGGCATTAAGTGCCGGAATGTACACCTCTGCCTACCCCTCCGGGGATAAAAGGCATTTTGTTATGTTAAATAGATCTTAAATTTTAATTCAGCTTGTCTCAAGGTCGGTCAAAACTTTCTTAGTATTTTATAATTACTAGGAAATATACAAGTAATTATACGGAGACACTGCATCGAGTATATTCTCACCCTTATTTTTATACATCAGAGGCCACAGGCCTATTTAAAAAATTCTGATTCTAAGTGTTTCTGAATAACTGCCGATTTCAATAATTAATCTTAATTAAATATTACGTTTTTTGGCTTACTCACTTAATTATTTGACGAAGAACTCGACTAGTTTCAAGCCATGCTAGAGGCTCATATTCAGTAACAGCGCGGCAGTCTCCTAAAGGGGGTGAGCCTATTGCTATATACCCGACAAAATTCCAGACTCCTTGCTACTACTCAGAATTTTTTTAAAACCCAGTAATACTTTGCCCTACCCGGAAATCGATCCCGACACCACTTGCCTGGCAGTCGCCCTTGCGACCACTCGGCCAACGACGCAGTCAAGAAATCTAATAATTAATTCACTATGTCTCACGAAAGTTATAACATAAACTTATCTAAATTTAAAATCTCTAAATCCGTTTACATTTTTGATGATAGGTTATCGAAATCGGCAGTAAGTGATGCCCAGACGGTAAACAATCAGCGTCATCCATAGACATCCGCAACATCAGATGACATCTAAGGCCTTAATACGAGATTAATTCGCGTTCGGCACTCTGATTGGCCGGCTCCTATGAAGCAACCAATCAGAGCGTCGAACGCATACTCGTTTCGATTACTTTAAACGTAAAACAAATTCGTACTAAGGCCTCTGAACTCAACGTAAGCATTAATTCACGGCGATTCTGTCCGACTTTCTTTTATAATAACTATGTGTACGACGGTAGTATCACTCCACGTCAGTCCATGTGAAAGACACCATCAATACACATCATTCTAAGATCGCAAAAATTTAAAAAAGAACATAAGAAACACTCACGTGATTTCAAAAACGCGCTGTATCTCCGATGACCAAGGATCACGTTTGCAAAACAGGTCTGGAGCATTAGCACGGATTGTGAAGAACAGGTCAATGGTACGCTTGGCTCGGTCCAGACTGAACCGGCAGCAGGTCAGGAAACGGAGCAGGAGGATGTCGTCTGGAAAAAATGGTTTCTTAATGAACTTAAAGATTTACTTAATATGAAAAAATGTATGCTTTATGTGAAGGACAGACAGCAAATATTTAGGAATTTAAATTTATTTATGCTGATTATGTTAATTGTTTTTCTTCTATTTTGGTTTTTTTTATTGTGCATCTACCACCCATTCCCAGATTCTTTTCAAAAATTCCATCCAAAGGTTGTCTGGAAGAAATCGCCGCGTGTGATAAGACCGCCCATTGTACTCAAATTACTATTGCAATGTTAACAATTTTTTTCTGTGTGTGTGCACACACAAGTATAAATAAATAAATAAATTATGTATCTGAATCTTTTTTAAAATCGATAACAAAAAATAATAATTCGATATCAATTTCAAAGTCGTAAAACATATGTTTTGTAACCTCTCAATTCGAATACTTAGGTAGGTATTCGAATTGGGTTTACCCCACATAAAAACTGTTTGGGATGGTCCATGGTCATCACATTATCTCAAAATAATGGGGAAGACCAAAAGGCTAAAAAAGTTAATCATTGTACTTTGTAAGCAGACAGAGTGGCAATTAGAATCCATTATAATGTTGAATGACGTATATGTTGAAACTATGTTGAAACAATCAATAACTAAGATATAAAGAGCGAAATGCTTATATTAGTCTCCTATTTCCTATACATTGTCTGTCATCGCGGAAACGGGTTACCGGAGCTCCGGCTCGACGTGCAGGAGAAGGAACGGGGTGGTTTTTAGTCAATAAGAGTCTGACACTCCCTCCCGCCTCACCCAGGCGGGAGCAGTCATTCGATGATTTTCCCCCTTAAAAAAAAATACTTTGTCTGTCATTCAATAAAGTCCAGATTATGGATTGTAGAGGTAATGAATACAACTTAATTTATAACGCTGACAAGCTATTTGTCAGATATGGCAGTATTGGTATTGGTACTGCCATTTCAATAAACCCCGTATCTATAATACTGCTTATGAAAGGGTCTATAGAATGAAGAAGAAAAAATCTTGTATGAAATTACAACATTACAAACCCCATGAAGTATAACGTTTTGAACTTTTGAATCGTCAACAAATCCTTACTTCCTTACTAATATTATAAATCGGAAAGTGAGTTGGTTTGTTTGTTTCGCTTTCACGCCGTAATTACTAAACTAATTGCTTTGAATTTTTGCAGACGTTAAGTTAGAAGTCCGGATTAAATAATAGGGATAGGGATAATATGTCCCGGAAAAATTTGATATTCCCGAGGGAAAACAAAAGTATTGTTATAGATGGCGCTGTGTATATCGTTATATGTCACATAGGCTACTTTTTATCCTTTTGTGACGCGAGCGAAGCCGCGGGTAAAAGCTAGTACGAAATAAATAATTAGTTTGTCAGTCTCTCTGTAGTACCTTACTCTGTTTTGTACCTGGATCACTTCATACTTAGAATTGTTTTAAGTAACGAGTACAAATAATGAATCTAATAGGAAATGAGTATAAGGATAACGCATGATCACTAACGGCCGTTCCCAATATTCAATCCATAGGTAAAGATAGATAGCTATCCTCGATATTCAGTTAAAATCTATCTATCTTTCGATGTCGTCCCAATAACTAAAATGTGTCTTTGCTGTCTCTAGATATCAGTAGATAGGGTGCCTATCTGAGCCCTCCCGTGTGTTTCATTGTATGCAGAGCTCCACAGAGTGCCACTAAGTTACAATAATGTTTTTAAAGCATCTTGTCATGTTTATATCATAAACATTTTGAATTAATTAACGAAACCTTATATTTTGCACTAATTTTATATTAAACAATATTTTTTTAAGTTTAATATAACGAAAACTTCATGTTTGCGACTGGAATAGTGCGCGACTTGTAACGGAACGTATTTGTTAAAACATTGACATTTGACATTGTTGTTTGTTGATTTTGTTTTACAATAAATTGTGATAATATAACAAAGAATTGTTTGTTATAAAAATGACCTCAGTAAGTATTACAGTTTGTGCTTTTCTAGCTTTAGATTGAAGCTATTGAAGTTTTAAAGTTCTTGTTTACATGAACATACATGTGACTAATAACTCGTGTTTGGTGCACTCATTGCAGCAAAAGAATATGCTATTGACGAAAGAAGAAGTAATGCAGCTGGTACAATTGGTGGAGGCAAATCCATTGATGTTCAGCAAAGCCACAGATGCAAGCAATAACCAGCTCAAAGATGCGACTTGGAGGATTAGGTATCACAGATAGTTTATTGTGTATTTCATTTTTGGGGTTTGGTATTGGTTATGACTAATTACTTTTCAATACTATTTGGTTACAAAACTTTTATATGGTGGTTGTAGTGAGGACCAAAATGGAATAATACACTGAATAATATTTTTCTAGGAAAACAGAAAAGACGAGCTGATGCAGATGAAATGAGTCAAGTACATATTGAAATCAGGCAATCGCAGAATATTACTTCCAAGTCAAATATAAAACACGACGATGAAATACATGCATTAAAGAAACGGAAACTCTAGCTAGCAGATATACTGGAGAAGGAGAAACAACCCAATAATAATTCATGTATTTAAATAAATTAAAACAGTTTATTCTAAACCATCTTTTTTTACACTGTGTAATTTTGCACATAATGTTTATCTCATTGCTCGTCCTCTGGAACACATAATAATTAAAATAAATATGTAGGTAAGAATAATTGACCTATCTATATTGATACAATTATAAATTTCTCAAATTTAGTCTTCTTAGCCTAAATCTATACACAAACTCATAATCGTCATATCTGTACATGTAATTAACACGCTCTTGATATGATCGTGTTGTGGTGTGGTGAGCACATCATCCTCGTCAGATTCCCAGTTCCTTATTTGTTCCAAAATATCAATAGCACTTGAACTACTACTTGAACTGGAGACCGACATGATTTTTTGTTTAAATCTGATGTATTTTTAAGAAATCGAAAAGATATGTTACTGATCTTCACTGATAACTATACTCCTATATGTATTTTTAAGAAATAGAAAAGATATGTTACTGATCTTCACTGATAACTATACTCCTATATGTATTTTCAAGAAATAGAAAAGATTTGTTTCTGATCTTCACTGATAACTATACTCCTATCCATCAAAATCCTGCGATAGAGTTATAGCCTACTAGGGATAACCAAAGCTACTGACAGATAGCACCTTTGTTATTATTGGGACGCGTGAACTGTCAATTTCATAGTAAAAGCAATCTGTAGATAACCTATCCGTCCTCCCACAGGTAATGACAACCATAGATTAGTTTGCCTATCGCCAGTAAGTTTATTGAGACGGCAAATTTAAAGATAGATAGATTTTTCTATCTCTAGTAGGGCAAAACAAGGGATAGATAGAATATTGGGAACGGCCGTAAGGTAATTGCCGTCTGACGATATTACGGCTATCAGCACACAAGAACTAATTTCATAAAAAAATAATCAGTTGCACTTAACTACACATGTTAAGGTACATGTCCGTAAACATAGTACCTCTAATAATTGAGAAACCACGAATGTATGTATGTACACACGGCTACACATCGAGCTTTACATAACCAGTATAAACTGAACGTTAAAAGTGCGGAAAGATTATGTGACGGGACATCAGGATAAACTGGTTTTGTTTAGATTAATGTGTGGCCGTATGTGTCCATACAATACACGTGTGTAAAGTATTCAAGTAAATAATCACACAGACCTAGATAAATATTGGGTCAGGTCAATATATTTATTGATACAACGAAGTCACCTTAACTTTTTAATTTTTAATACCATTTAGGTACAACTTGAGGTCAACCAGATGGAGTCGAGATGGTTTTTGAGAGGAGGGGAGACTACGCAATGATTGACCTTTCAACCAATATTGCTATGGATTGCCTTGTGTGTATGCTTGTAATATGTTTTGCCTTGAACCGTGAAATTTCTCTGTTGATATCCTGCGTTTTGTATTAAAAATAAACTTGAGAGAGATTGTTTCTATAGTTGCAAGTAAAAGTCGAAGATAGAGCAAATATTTAACATTTATGGCGTCAATATTCTCATTGGGAAACGGAATATCACCCTCTTTTTAGAGATTCAAATAGGTACGTCTCAATAGTGAATTCTGGAATTATGGAATTCTGTTTCGTCTTTGACAACACCTTACCTTACCGTTCCGCAGTAGGTCTATCAACTTTTACGTTAGGCGTCAGGTATTTAATTTTCTTGAAATAACATTGCGCAATACCACAGTATATTACACATATTTAGCTAAATAAACTGTCAATGCAACTACTTACGCCGGAATACAGAAAGGATACTAAATTTTTAAGTCGCGCCTAACGTCCAGTTTCTATAACCTATCTATCTCTAGTAAGCAAATCTACAGATAGATAGGTTATAGAAACTGGACGTAAATAAAGTTCTGTCACTACAAATTCTTTTATTTAAATAACAACGATAATGGCACGATATTTAAGTACAACCAAAGTTTGGTAGCCTTTTAGTATTCAAGCTATAGCCAGTCAAAAATTAACACAAAGTTGACGGTACCTTCTAAAGTAAACTCTAACGAACTTACTGCAAGCGAGTTAAAGTGTACAGAACCTATGGGTTTGTTGGTTGTTGGTTTCGTATTGACGTTTGTTGTGAATACCGTTTCGAGTTCTACTTACATGTTATGGGAGAAAGCGTGAACTGTGAACAGATCCACGATAGTACGCGTGTTTGTAGGCTCTGTGGCAAATAAAAGCGAAGAAAATTGTATATCTAACAGTATTCTACGCACCTTCTTACGTCTAATGTACTGTTTTCCAAACAAAAAATGAATTGTAAAAGGCAAACTGTTTTGTCTTCTTCAGTCTTCTTCTGTCGGTTTTGGTCCTACTTTTATTTTTTAGTATGTTAGCAGAATATAGCTTTAACTTCCCACTTCAGACATAATTATACGTCATTTAATAGACTCACCTCATGGGATATGGGACTTACCTAT